GGATAGGCTAGTTCATTAGTACAGTTCCTTATTCAAGCTTCATAGTTCAACAAAATCTAACAAGCTATAAGTTGCTAGTTCACTACGACCCTTTTCTGTCCTAGTTCAATAGTCCACGCGTCGTTCTGCATTTGGTCGACGGGATCAACGTCTACGACGAGGACATCGAAGAGAGAAGTCATAGGGTAAGCAGTGTTGATTGATGGTATGTTAATATTGATTGTTCAGGTACTCTATGGCGTTATGGTGGACGAGCCTCTAAGTCGTACTCTTTCCGTCGATGCTTTACGACTCAGTTCATCTCGGGACCAAAACTCCTGAGTTTACTTTCTTATTTTTGTTTTGTTTTGTTGTTAATGTTTCTTAGTTCAGGTCTCGCGTACGAGTCTCCACCGGGTTCTAACGACGATGCCTTACGACGATCAATTACGACTCCTCAGGATTCAAACCCCTGAGTTTCCTTTTTGTTTTCCTTTTGTTCCATGTTTAAGTTTCGTTTAGTTCAGGTTCGTGCGTGCGTTTGGTTCGTCGTGTGGTTCCGTTGGTGCTTTACGTCGAGTGATTTATGATATTAGTAGTTCAGTAATTCAGTTTGGTTTTGATGTTGTTACTAACCCATTGTTACTTTGTTGTGGTTATTGGTGTTTTACTAATCCATTTTATCCATTGATGTTTTATTGATGCTTTAGTAGTTCAGATAACCGCTAAGATATTAGTTGTCATTTATTTACTCACTAACATGGTAGGGTTAGGAAGTTCGGATCACCAACTAAGACTTTAGCCGCAAGACCACATTATTATCAAAAATATAATATTCTTTTGGCTTAACGGGCTCTCGTAAAATGCCGAGCGCAAGGTCTTCAGGCACGGGGTCTGAGACTGAAGCCCATAGGGGGTCCTTTGCGGCGGGAGTGTCGCGTAACACGTCGATCGCTCCAAAGGAACCCTGGGCGCGCCGGTGCCTGCGAGTACTGCCGACATGACCCAGCCTGATCTATCCGTGATCGTGCGGCAACGCACGGGCTGTTCGCAACAGCACCATCACGGCCCGGCCCGGTGTTCCAAGTTCGGCTCACGGTACTTCCCCTGATCGTCTACGTTCGGCAGACCCGCAGGGCGTTAGCCCTTAGAATTCAAGTGTCTGATGTTATTCCTAATCCAAATCTCTTTCTGTGGTCAACCGGCGGGTCGAGGAAGGCGACCCGACGTGAGTCAGTTTTATCTCGCATTACTAACACTTATTTTGTTCCTCATTAATTCACCATTCAAGAAGTAGGTTACGACATAAAACTTACTATCACTTGTGTTCGGGTAGTGTAGCAATAGGGCTCAGTCCCACCGAATATATTTGCTAATTACTTGTGTCGTAGTTATTTGGGAACAATTCCTAGTTGGTCTAGTTCACCTTGGCTTGGTAGTCGGCGCGGGGCTACTGGGTATTGGTTGTTTGTACTTTCATAGTCGCATGGTAGCCCGGGTTCATCCCCCTCGTTCCGCAGGTCAGGTCTTCTGGTCCCACCGATTCGCAACATGGTGCATCGGCGATGGCGAAGCGGATCCGTTCGGTTATCACCAACGATAACCGGTAAAAAGAAGCCCTACCACTGCCTTCCAGGACAGGATACGACTTGCGGATAATTCAAGGACAACACCCGAGGATCGCGTGAGATGGCCACAATTCAAGATTCGAAGGAATGGAATGCGCCAGGACTCTTCGACAACAGTAATTACCTAGGGGTGGCAACTAGGTAATAGTCTGGAATGGTTAAGGAGAGCCGGCTGCAACACCGAAGGATTCAGGAGGACGAGCCGAAAGGGAACGGACGAACCCGCACGGAGAGTGGAGGCGATTAAGCCGGGCCTCCAGCCAAAGCTGTAGTAGCGCCACAGCAATGGCCGGTAGATTTGCAGAGACATGTCCACAAACCTGTTAGTCCCAACCATGTTGGGCGCACTGAGGAAGGAGCTCCTTAAAACCCCTCTACCATGTGGGTTGGCCACCCAATTAGGTAGCTAGGGTGAGGTGTAAACGGATGGGTCTACCAACTCAGTGGGTTCTCTCTTTTGGCTAGTCCACCTGTACCCTCAACATTCCCTCGTAATCCATTATAAGGTCAAAAACGTCATCTAGGGTTAAGCCTAATCCGGGTTAAAACACAAAAGGGTTAGTAGTACAAGCAATCAAAATATTAAATGAACTAAGTCAATCAATCAATCAAAAAAAAATGAAGTAATTATAATGAAATAAATAGAATGCAAGAAATTTGTAGGACTTACCTTATTACATATAGTAGTTTTCATTTCATTTATAATGTCGTACCTTCCATTTTCTTTCTCGCATTTCACTTATTCATGTGTCATCATTACGTATCGTAGTATTACAGTATCCCGAAGTTCCACTCGGGAACCTCGTGATACTCTACCTCCATTTATTTCACATATTATAACCGTCGCGTCGAGATCGCCTAACAAAGACCACAACAGAACGTAATAGATCACGCACTTATTTCAGGTAACATCTCGAATTTGGGACTTCACGTGGCTTACCTGTCACACAGCAACTGCGATGTCTGCGCCTGGATATATCAAAGGACAGATCACGAGGGCAGCAAATGCCCTGAAGGAGAAGATCGTGGAAACGGAAGCGACTGTGGCCGAAATCTTCAACTACGAACAGCAAACAGGGAACTTCGGCGACAAAAGAACAGCAACGAAATTCGTAACGCAGCTGTTGGAAGCTCAAGTCGGTCTGAGTCACTGGATGAATAATCTCACCAACGCCTGGAAGCGAGGCGAAGAGCACGTCAAGCAGCTTGAAGAAGGAAGAAACTCGCTACCAATACTTCAGGAGTTCACGGACCATTGGGAGAAGAGTAGTGCAGAAAAGAACATGTTCGACGCACAGCTACTCACGCAATCAACGGAATATCTGAAGCAGGTCGTGGAAGAGAGCATTATCCAACGAATCTAGATCGACCAGAACGCAGTCCAAATCTAGTCCAGAATTCGAGTCCAACTACCGAGACTGGAGATACCCCACTTCCAAGGAGATATGGTCGAATTCCCCGAGTTCTGGGAACTCTATAAGCTGGCAGTTCACGAAAATCCAACCCTCGGAGCACCAGCAAAATTCCTCCATCTTAAGAGCGTCTTGAAGGGCACAGCCAAAGATCTCATGGCCTCAATGACGCTATCGGCGGAGAACTACCCAAAAGCCATTGAACTACTCCTTAATACATACAATAGGCCGGACGTTCTGCGTAACAGGCTCGTAGAACAACTGGAGGCATTGCCTCCCTCAGGAAAAGCTGTCACAGAACAACGTATTACACTGTGCAAAATCAAGGCCATATGGGTTCAACTGGCCAATCTCGCCGAACAACCGGGTTCGACGATGACGATGAGGACAGTTCGCTCGAAAATTTCCCAAGAAGACAAGGGAAAAGGTTGGGGAGAAACGAAGGAAAGGCGACAACTGGACGACTGAGGACTTGATTGATGCATTCGATGAAGTCATCGACCAGTTGGAAATCATCGAAGACACCAATCCAACCCCAACAACGAAATCAAGGTCACATACGGTCAATAATTCGCGCAGTCCAATACGCCCTAAAAAGTCAGCGGGAAAAGCTCGAAGAGGTAGCAGCATTGAATCCAGCACAGGACACTTACCGAGAAGAACCATGAAGGGCAAGGACAAGTCACTTAATTCGAAGGATGCACGATGCAGCTTCTGCTTGCAAGCCAAGCACAGGACTGCGGATTGCGACGAAGTGACGTCTCCATATGAAAGAAGAGAAGCGGTAGTACACCATCGACTGTGTTGGAAATGTCTGAAACAAGGACACAAGAGCTTGGATTGCGACGCACCCGTATGCTACAAATGTGGCCGGAACCATCACAAATCCCTCTGCCTTCAACGCAGATCCTCATTCAGTCCAAGAAGATCGAGCAGCCCAAGGAACAGATATCTAAGAAGGAATAGTTCGGCAGATAGTTACTCCTCAGAAGTAAGCAGAAGAGACAGTTCAAGATCGAAGTCTCGTTCTCCGAGTCCAGACAACAGAGGAAGATCACCCACAAGAAGAACAAGGACTTACCGCAAAGGATCTCCTCACCCGAAAGTCGGATTCAGAAAATCGCCGAGAACCTATGCTTACTCCAACTCATCTCCTACTCCAACCTCGGATCACAGCGAAACGAAACATACGGCTTATTCTGAACTAGATTCTTACTCAGATGATTCTGAGGAAGAAACCTTTCGAGTTAACACAGTAAGTTCAAAATTCATTACTTCTCATGCACTAAGTAAGAAACACAAGCCTAGTGGGGATAAAGTTATCAAAATGCTTAACCCACCACGATTAATGGTAGTTCAAGCACTGACTATTAATAAAACCACTAAGTCAAAACAACTTATTACAGTACTCCTGATAGTGGCTCACAACACAGCTACATTAAAAAGGATACTGCACGAAACTTAGGACTTAAAACTCAAGAATCCGCAAAATATTACAGCCTTAACATTTGGAGGCCATCTACATACAGAAAAATCGTACCGTGTAAAAATTATACTCCAGAACAGAAGAGTGGTCTCCCAACAAAACTTTACTTATGGACACGCAAGGTCATCACCTCCGTCGAAGTAAGTAACACCGACGACAACCTCGGCAAACACCATAAAAGGAGCAAGACCAAGGAGAAGTGGAAGTCGACGTTCTCATCGGAATGGACTACTACTGGGATGTAGTAGATTTCAACTCCAGCCGTCAGCTCCCTTCAGGCCTAGTTGAGTCGGAAACTACACTTGGACCAGTTTTGTCGGGATGCCAGTCTTCTACTTCATCTGCAGTACACACCGCCTCAGAGACCGACCTTCAGCAAGAAGATCAGACACGCGAAACGGATCGCATAGTCCAACACCTCTTCGGTCTAGAGTCTCTCGAAACCAAAGATGAAGCAGATGAGTCGAACGAGAGTATAATAAACACTACTACAACACAGTACAAATCAAGGACGGCCTCATACATGTTCAATTCCCGTGGAAAGCGAATCACCCACCCCTTGCTGACAACAAAGCTCTTGCAGTCAGGAGATTACAAAATCAGTACAACAAACTCCACCTTAATACAAAAGTATGGAAGGAATACTGCAAGACCTTCGATCAGCAGCTACAGTCAGGAATAATAGAAGAAGTCGATGAGCAAGCAGCTCACGGAAAATGGGTGTACTACATTCCACATCAAGGCGGTATTCAAGGAAGACAGTGCTACTACAAAGCTACGTATCGTGTTCGACGCGTCCAGCCACATGAAAGGTGTACCCAGCCTAAACGACTGCGTACACCAAGGCCCAACACTACTGCCAGATCTCTGCGGCACATTACTACGGGCACGTCTAACACCAATACTCATAATAGCAGACGTGGAAAAGGCATTTCATCAGATCAGGTTACAAGAGGATCCAGAGAGACGCAACACGTTTCCTCTGGTTGAAGGATACTTCAAAGTACCCCACAAAAGGCAATATACGTATACTTCGATTCACACGTATTCCATTCGGCGTCAATGCATCGCCATTCCTGCTAAGCATGTCCATAAAGTACGCACTGGAAAAGGAGGGAAGCAACCAGCTGCAGGAGGAAATCCTTGCCAATACATATGTCGACAATGTCATAATAGGCGCCAAGACAGTCGACGAAGGTCTTCGAAAACGAATACGATGCAAGGACACCTTCTCCAAGATGGGCATGAACCTTCGCGAATTCATGTCCAACAACAACAGCATACTGGAAGCTACTCCAATTGAAGACAGGATGAAACAAACGGGTAATACAGTGAAACTTTTGGGACTGCGATGGAATACTCAGCAGGATCTGATCTCGATACCCATCAAGACCATAAATAAAGCAGTCAATACGAAACGTAGTGCACTGAAAGTATTTGCATCTACATTCGACCCGTTAGGTCTCCTAACACCTCTATTCATCAAGGCCAAGATGTTCATACAAGACCTATGGATCAACAAGTATTCATGGGACACCCCCTTCGACGAAAGTACCTCAGAAAAGTGGAGATGTATTACAGAAGACATCAAGGGTTTCGCAGGAAACGTACCAAGGTTCATCGCCACCACAGGAGAAACCAAGTACGACCTGGTCGTCTTCTCGGATGCTTCACAAAGGGTGTACGCAGCGGTTGCATACCTAGTATGCAGACCACAGAAAGGACAACCCTTCAGCAACCTAATCTTCGCCAAAGCAAAGCTGGCAGAAATGAAGAAAACGTCTATCCCAAGGTTGGAACTGGTAGGCTCCGTTCTGGCAGCGAAATTGGTTCGTTTCCTTCGAAAACAATTAAACATCCCACTTAATTCAGTGCAAATCCTATCAGATTCACAGATAGCTCTTTATTGGATACACTCCAATAAACAGCTCAAAACTTTCGTCAGCAACAGGGTAAAATACATCAAAGAGGTAACAAAAGAACTCACAGA